CCTGCATTTATTGCAGCACAGGCAGAGGATCGTGTGCAGCACAGACGTCACCGCACGGGCATCACCGCGCAGACGTCTGGGGGGAAGGCTGTTGCACAGTCTGAGTCTTGACAGCCTGATCCGAGGCAGAGGATTTACCCACATGTCACAGCAATCGTGGCTACCCTGCGTGCACAGATCAGGAACAGGGTGCGGAGGGCACGCGGAAAATAAATCCACAGCCACAATGAGGTACCTACCTGCACCTTCCTCTGCAGGTGCACCCTGATGCCCAGCTCACCTGAGCAGACCAAACGCCCAGCATCACTCTCCAGACTGACCCGTCACTTCTAAGGCAGTAACTCCAACGCTACCACATTATCTCTATTTACAGAAGCGGAAATTAAAGTGTCAAGGAACTGATTTTCCTCTGTAGCCCGAAAACAGAGAGGAAAGGAGAACGCAAGAGTCCTGGCTCCTGGGCCTTGTTGACTCAGATGGTTATTTGTGCTGCACTGGGGATGCAAGCCACAGTGTACCAGCTGTAGAGGAAACACACGTCCTGTCCCCAAGACAACACAGGAAGAGCAAGCACGTGCTTGACACAGAGGGGGAAAGCGAAGTGATAGGCAAAGTGCCCTGCAGAGTCCACGCAACGTCAGGTTCCCCAAGCCTTTCTGCTACTCCAAGAGCCACCTTATGAAGCATGGCAACACTTCCTTGTGTCTGTCAAGGACCTGGGAACACAACCAGGAACACACAGGGAATGAACTCGTTATATATGAGTTCAGAGTAGGGCTCCAGAGCCTGCTTCCAGCAAAAGGAGCTACCAGAAACAAGACACAGCCCCGTCGAGATCTGACCCCAAGCAAAGGCAGCACGCACAGGCAGAGCGCCCGGGAGAAGCACCCTGCAGCCAGCTCCTAACGCCCTTCTTGGCAGAGCACACAGCAGGGCTGCAGTGTCCATCAGCCCAGGCGACGGGTGACGGGACGGAGTTGCCAGATGTGTTTCAGGCTCCATCCGCCGGGGAGCAGTGGAGATCCAAGGGGAAAATCCAAGTTATCCCTATTTCGACAGCAGGCTCTGTTTCAGGGCTGCGTGACTATCCCGCCCTCCGTCTGCCCTCTTCGTCTGCCCTCTTCCCTTCCAGCTCAAAACGCCGCTTCCCCAGGGAACGTCTGGAAATTTGCACCATGAAGTCTGCACAGCCAAAACATCTGCAGCGCTTACAGCACCAGCGTGCACCGCCGCGCTCTGCCCCGCCTGTGTGAGGCCGGCGTGTGCTGAGCCACCGACACACAACACAGCCTTCCCCACGCGACGGGGAGTCACGCCGTCCAGGGAAACGACACTTTTGGGGTTTTTAGGCCATGCAAATATGACAGAAGGGGGTCATGCTAATTGCTGCTTCTGCTAGGAAAAGGTCTCTAAGAAGGGAGACAGAACAATTCCCGGCCATCATACTGGGA